GGGTTCATGTTTTTACAGGAGCCAGTATGGCTTTGAAAGTCGATCGAGAGATTTAAGAACAAAACGATAATTGCTGTTGATTACATCGAGTTGAGGAGGTGTCAGGTGTCATATTTGGCTTTAATGAATCAATGTGTCACATGTACGATATAATTTGTTTGTGTGTTTTCATTTACAGAATCAACTATGCGTACGCTCCATTACAGTGATTTGTTTTAGACTTGCGCACTTTCATTTCCGCATTGTAAACTACAAGATCCGAGACAGCGGGATAGTTCGGTTTGAAATGTAACACTTCAGAAGTAAAACTTGACGGACTTACAAATAAAAATGCAGACCTAGAAAGATTTGCCAAGACCTATACTAGCCAAAAACAACATTTAATCACTAGGCCCGTCCATATTTAATAACGAATTCACAAAATGGTCCAACCGTTTTGATCGCGTTTAAAAACGAAAGTACGTTTTTCTGAAATACCTTACTCTATTTTTGTAAGCGTGTTTATTGTAAAATTACATAGCTGTATTTGTTGTATTGATTACGTATATCATTTATCGATTGATTAAAAGCATTAACTATTAATAAAACCAACAACTGCTAGTGCTATGTCCCAACAGCAAATTTCATACGAAATCTATGAACCCGCATAACTCGAATGCTCGGATAACTCGAAGTTTTCCCACGACCCCGTCGACTTCGACATAACGAGGTTCGACTGTACTACATTTTCGTAATTATGGGGGGAAAGCGCCAAGATGTTGAAATGTAAGTTATTCGGCAATTCTCTGGCATCTGAATTGTCTAAACTTTCTTCGTTTGGTTTTTCCATAGATTTATTTCCAGAAGATGTATACCTAATTAATAATAATTTTCATATGAACTCGGGTAACAATACTTGATGTATCAACTGTATCTTTTATTGATGTTTGACATAGATAGATTTGTTGATCGTCATTTGTTTTTGAGTTCCGTGTAACAAGGGAGATAATCTCTTGTATCCAAGATGGCAGTGTGCCAGAATCGTCAAGCTTTTCCTGGAAAAGAACCTTGAATGGCTTACACTTATGTATTTTGCGCACCCCCTACTTTGGGCATTCAATTTCTCAAACAAAAAAGAGCACAAATTACACAGGTTTTTACGGTAACTCAGATACAAATGTAGATTAAGACTTACTGGACTCAATGTTGGATTAAATGAATTCAGGATTTTATATGACGTAGAAAATAACAATGTCGGTTGAGGTACAGGAACTCTAGTCAAGATGACCAATTAAGGCAAAGTTTGTGCTTTTTGTGTTTAAAAAATAAAAATAAAAAACTGTAAATGTCATGATAAAAATTGTCAATCACCTTCATGTGAAAGTGGTTCAGCTATCTTTATCTTGAATGCAAGTTAAAATTTGTTTAAAATTTTATGGTAGGATGTATACAAGCCACAGCGTCGTTACAAGCGTCAGGACGTAGACAAGCTCCGAGATGAAGAGACCCGGGTACACTCTACGTTACTAGAATATGGGAGGTAACTATAATGTTTTAACGTGCCAAAAAATTGTAGAAATGAATAAATCAATGTTTGAACAGAAATCGTTTTTAGAGAAAAAGTTTGACTGCTCTTGTGGGTATAGTCAGTATACTGGATTGTTTGTCTTTCACTCCATTTCCTCCATCTACAAGTTTAATTTGTCTGTTTGCAATTTTTTGCTTCCCCTTCAATAAGCTGATTTGAACAATCATACGTTGATCATAGGTCAAAAAAATTTGAATCATCACTTCATTTCATGATCAGAAGTTACAACTTTTCACCGTAAAATTTGAAAAAAAAAATTGAATCATTGATTAAAGATATAAATATGATCACAAGGAATCTTAAACCAGTACAGACATGGCAGAATTGTTTCTGATGAATATTTTAATTCATGTTTCATATTAAATATTAAAATATGAACCTTTTATTTTCTTTCATTTCAGGCGATATGGCATAAGCAAATCTGACCATGCTGAACAGGTAATGTATTCAATTTCATGTTCAAATTGCCTATTAGTTGATATTACAACTGATCATGTAGCAAAAACAAATTATTTAGACATGGTAAATTTTATATAATGAGATATAATTCTGATTAAATTGCATGTAAGTTGTATCGTTTGCAAGATAAAAGTTCTTAAACAAATTTTGCATGCTTCAACATTCATACATACTTGCCACCTCTCCCTATCTAGGAAGGAGAGTCCTGATTTTTGACCCTAAAATTTAGTATTTCCAACCTGTGAAGGTGCTGAACTAATCCTTTATTCTAAGATGTAATTATTTCTTCTGAAAGAACAACTCAAATTATGTCTTTATAATGGTTATTGTTTATATACACACATTTAAAAAGTATTTATAAATGTTTTTAATTTTGAGCATGCAGTATCTCCCCCATGATATTATCACAATGTAGGATCAGAGGGGCATGCAGACCTCTGATGTCAATTTAAAAATCATTAAAAGTGCTAGCCATCTTCTGTGAAGTGTCACACCCGTTCCTTTTGGATAAAACGTCACATCGTGGGCCGTTAATTGGTAACAAGTATTACTGGTAACCGACACATGATTCCTTTTGACAAACTTACAGTCGTGTCCTCGGTGTTTGGTGTACTGCAAAAGTAGAAATCTTAACAGCATGGAAATGTTCACATTTATCACATAAGTAAATAAGAGTGACAATATCCACATATGAGTATTTAATTATAGATCATACATAAAAAGAACATACAGATTTTAGAATTATTGCCAATGCAAAAAATTCCACACTGCGAGCAGAGGGTCACAACGCAAACATTTTCACGCTGGAAAATTTCCAATGTTACAGTATTTTGCATCGTCGGATACCCACGGTTGATTTAGCTGTGAGTGAGTAGGGAAGCAAAGTCAGCCATGGGTATCCGACGATGAGTATTTTGTGGCATCATCGAACAACAATGTGTCTAACTCATTGAAACTTTATCCCTAACACCCTTGATCTATGTTATCCGGTCAGACGAATGTGTCTCAAACTCAAGCCAGATCCACATGTTATAGTCTGATTTGATGGTTAATTTTTAGAAGGTCATATATTGCTTTAACCATGTAACTCTTTTGTAACCAGGATACAGGGAAATCTTCCAAGAAAGCTGCTGCTGCTGCTGCAGGTGTTGCTGGGAAACAGGCAGAGCCCTCTGAGGAAGAACTTCAAGAACAGGAGGAGGTTATAATAAATCATTCAGATTCAGATTTTATTTCTAAAAGTGATAAGCTGAATGATTAATTCTTCCCAAGATCTCTTTCTTCGGATGTAGACTTTTTTCTAAATTTACAAACAGGACTATATTGCATGGCTCTTTTATATTCACAAACCATCTGATTGGGATTTTGAAATAAATTAAATAATAATAATAATAATAGTAATAATTTGAGTTTCTTGTATACCGCTTTATCACAACCTAGTTCGTAGGTCGTCTCAAAGCTGTTCACAAATTATTTGCCGTGGTTATAAGGCCTTTGCCATCAGCCAATATCTTTCTCAACTCCCTGGGGAGCATACAGCCGGAGCTGCCATTTCGGCGCTAACAGCTAGCATTCAACAATTCTAGCGCTGCCTAACCGCATACTCATTTACAGCTGAGTAGACTAGAACAAGTGAAGTAAAGTATCATGCTCAAAGATACAACATAGTGCCGTGACTTGACTCGAACCCGCAACCCTTCGGTCACGAGCCAGGCATCCCACCACTAGACTACCGTGCCTCACATTGCGATCATTCATGAAATTATTTTAAGTCAGTTGAAAAACATCTTTAACAGTAAAAGTGCTTGCATCACTAGTGATCTTTTATGTATTTATTCTTTCTTAACAATCCTTTATATGTTAATCTTTGAGAAGTAACATATCGCCTTATTTTCAGAAACGAATTCAGATGCTTATGTCAGGAATGTCTGCAATGGGATTACAAGAGGTATGTCATTATTTTCTATGTTATATTTATTATCTAAATATCTTCATCATTCTATTTGCTTACTTTATGAAAGGGTAAATTTTGAATCAAATCCTTTCTTATTTTTCGGTATGTTTTTTTTCCCTGAAAAAATAATTGAGAGTAGGATTTTGATGTTTAAGAAATTTAACAAAATCATCTCTATTTTTTTGCAGATGTATATATTATGTTAATAAATATCACACAAAAAAATCATTGTTATATATTAACACTAATAAAAACACCTAAATAAAAGGTGAACTTATGAATATAGTTGGACATGATCAAATTTTTGTTCTTTGAGAGAATGTCTTAGTTTTTGTTATAGATAAATTGAGCATGGGATTCCATAGGAGGTTGTATCAGGTTAAATAATATAGTTTCTGTTTTTAATTTAAGGAAACCAGGTTATCATATAATTGATTTTTTTATGAAACAGGTACAAATTTTAGAAAAAAACCTTTAGATACAGTATATGAGTTACCTTCCCTTGATCAGAATTAATACATTAATTAAAATAGTATAATTGCATTAATTCTACTGCACTTAATGATTTAATGTTAAAGGTGAATTCATTTCGTTTCTGGCTTTACTTTCATGAAATAAGGTTAGCATATTTTTATATGATATAGATACACCTTTTAGAAAAAACACTAAATGGATACAAGATTTTCCTCCCCTTTATCAGTGCAAATTCAATAATTGAAACAGTATAAATTCATTAATTCTACTGCACTTTATAAATTCATTTTAAAAGTAAATATAGTTATTTTCTATTTTTACTTTGATTAATAAGGTTAACATATTATGTTTCTGAATGATACATGTACAACTTTTAGATTTTTTTTTAGATATAAGACTTACCTTCCTTGCCACCAGTGTTAACACAAAACATGATGTACTTGAAATCGTTTTATTGTGTATCATGTTTCAACAGAAAACAAACTTGCTTGTAAATAATCTTAAAAATAAAACAAATGGCCTGACGATCTGTGCGAAAAACAATTCAAATCACCTGGTCTATGTTTCTTACAGCAAATGGCAGGTTTATGAAATCATTACAATGTCTTTTTCCAATGTCCATAGATTTAAATGCTCAAAATATGGCTTTCAGCATGGTTTGTTTGAAGAATGGCGATTCCATTATTTATGAATGGGGATTGGGGCTGAAGATTTGGGGATTGGTCAAATTTCAGAATTTCATTTGCATGGCCCTCCCTTCGATTCAGTACAATTGGGTTTGAAGGAAGGTGGTGGCAGAGTTGAGAGACCCCTCTCCCCCCCCCCCCCTAAATACCCCCCAAAAAATATGTTATTTTCAATTAAAAATTAATGAAATATGGCATTAAGGGGATCTAGCAGCCTCTAGGTGTTCCCTGGAACAACCAATGTTGGTTTTTGATAATAACTTATTTTTCTGTCAGATATGTATTCCCCTTCACCCAAATTTTATATTGAACATGCTTTCTGTGTTATGAATGCTTTTTATTTTTTTTGATACAGTGAATGGTTGGTTATTATGTTCGACACCAAGCATGAATAAATTGAATTTTATAAAATGAAGACACGTCAAAAATAACTTTGGCTGAATGTCAAAGGTGAAGATGAGACGTGAATTGACTCAAGTCTTTGGAATGTTTTGTTTTTGTTTGTGTTTGTTTTTTACCACACAATGTTATTTTTAAGTTTATGAAAGGGCTGTACAACCCACGATTGTCTCAATCTTATATCAAAATATTTAAATGGCTAGTCATTTATATTTCAAAAGTGTCTAATTAATAAGTTGGTCCCTGATGTTCTGCACATGTACAATTTACACAAGATATAAAACATTGCATTGTACATTCACATCTGAACTGACATGAGGTGCCAAACTGCCTGTACTTTCACAAGAACCAAATCCAGTCTTCCATACAGTTGCTATGTCAATCAGATCCACGTCATTTCTGTAAAATCTTGCCTGATTGGTCAAATCTGTTCTGATAAGATTAAACATTGCATTGTACATTCACATCTGAACTGACGTGAGGTGCCAAACTGCCTGTACTTTCACAAGAACCGAATCCAGTCTTCCATACAGTTGTTATATCAATCAGATCCAAGTCATTTCTGTAAAATCTTGCCTGATTGGTCAAATCTGTTCTGAGAAGATGGTTGTCCCTGGGTACGTTAGGTTTAGTACGATAGTAATGGATGATGGCATGCTGCTGAAGCACGCTTGGGCTGTACTCACTCACCTTTGTCACAAATGTAATTACAGGAGTCTGGCATACTCCATTTTCTTCGACCTTACAGTTGAATTTAATATCACCAAAGATCAAATTTGGAATTTCTTTTTCTACAAATACAAACTTGAAAATCATAGTCATCTTGGATCCGGGAATAAAATTCATACAATCTGTTTCTGCGGTAACAGATTTAGCTGTGCGGTTAACTGTGTAACATTCTTTAATTTGTAGAGATTGGTTCAAATTTGTTTGCCATATGACCATCTTCGTTTTAGTTGTCTCATCAAAATCAATCTTGAAAATCTCTTCTTCCTTTTCACGAACGTCATATATGCTAATAAGTCGGATCCATCCAATGTTTTCTTGATGAGGGAGTAAGCCCTCTTCAAAATTGATCAACGGGTGGTGTAAATACAAACTAACATTTTGAAAATATCTTTCGTCATCGTAATTCCCTTCAAACATGGACTTCGGAACAGTGAATTGAATTCCGCCATCATCTTTTCTCTCAAATTGTGTGAAGAAGAAAAGGGCAACGGAACAGCAGAACACGAGTAGCAAGCCGAACATGATAAAAAAGCGGTATATGACATTCACAAGGCCATTCCATGTAGGTTTCTTCATTTCTGTCAGACTTTCGGTGTTACAGTAGAGAACCAAGCAAAATGTGATTCGAATGATCACACCCACAATGATCACTACAGCCTTGACCAACTGGAAATAGCTAATGGCCTCCTCACGACAGACCATGATGCGCAGACTGACCACTAGCTGGGGGACATCTTCCGCCCAGATACAAATGGCTGAAATAAGGTCAGGGTTGATCCAAGAACGCTGATAAAAAACTTCCATGGCCAAGTTCACAATTTCAAAGGTGAAAGTCACTGTGCCAATCACTGATAAGGTCAAAAGGGCATAGGTCAGAGACTGAGGGGGAGGGCCATACACTAGACCCTCCTTTATTGTGTATACATCACGGAACAATAGCCAATCAGCAAAGAGATCCGCCACATCCAGAACAAAGATGATAACCAGAAGATTTCTTTGAAAACACTTGTGATTATGAAATCTGCCATTGGACTGATTTGATTCATCCAGGCTCTTATCAATCAAAACCATTTTCTCCGGTTTAGATTTCCCGCTTCCACTCATGTTTTTTATCCTTGAATTTCTCTATGACGTACGTAATAGTTTATTATCTAATTCTGCAGGGTTTTCCAAAAATGTCATTCACTGTTTCTTCTGAATCTCTTTATCTTTTGTTACATTCTTCATTTGGACTGTTCAAATGTCAATGATCAATTTCTGCTGAATCAGCTTTTCAATCCAATTGTAGTGCAATGAATCCTCTTTCGCTTAAAAAAAAGTCCTGAATTTATCTTTTTCTTTCGTATTCTTTCACTTCACAAGTAGTAAAGGCAGACGTTCCCTGATCTGATCTGTTTGAGTTCACCTAACAAAGTGATCTCCTCCTAAAATCTACTTTTAGTTTAGAATATACTTTACATTCGTTGCATTGACAGGGAAATTTTGTCGTGTTGAACATAGTTTTCTCGTGTTCTCTGAGTAAGCTTTATCAATACAGTTTCTAGCTGTAATTTATTCCCTTATGTTGAGTCTGCCTCGCCTGTTGCATGGTAAGCATGCACTTGAACCTGCATAATTTCCAATTTCTGTCGGGATAACTGATACCTCAGTTAAGTCATAGCTTTTGTCTGGTTGTCCTGACAACAGATGGTGGTAAGCTGGCTTTTGTGTTTCAGCTTCATATACGGTTATTATTCCGAGTGATTACACATTGATGGTAGCTGCAAATTTTACGTGATAAAGAAATTGATTTAAAAGAATTTGATATCTTTTTCAGCTGTGAATGATAATACTGTAATCTATATATATAAGGCTGAAATTGATCAAATATAGTTGAAAGATTTCTCCTTTAACATTATTTACCATCAAATCATTCATATATATATCTGCAATACAAATAGCTGCTTACTTATATGGCAGACGTAATATAAAAATTGCTTAACCGTTACCTTGTTTTTATGAAAAGTAATAAAATGGGGGTACATTTTTGTGAGTTGGAGCAATCGTAACATGTTTATGATGCAAAGGAATTTAAGAAGTTAAGACCCCCGTCTTTCTGTAATCCATGATCAGGTAAGATGATCTGTCATGGCTTATCAACTTGGAACCAATTTTACACCCGTATTCTGTAGAGCATTAAACTGCCTTTATTTTAAGAATTAACTCGTAATCCATCAATTCATGTACCCATGAAATGGTGATTTGGCAGGAAACCACAGACTTTGGGTCCCATGAAAATATCTTTTCACAGTAATAAGAACTGAAATATAATTATGTAACGCAAGCCGTTACACATTGTTGTCCTTATTTTTATGCATGGCCAACAAACTCACAGCTGGAATTAATGAAGAAACAACAAAATCAGATGATGTGGTCAATAAAATATATTGAATATCTTAATTTAACCTGTCCCACTGCACTGTTTTTCCCATGTACAGTAACCTCCACTTCACTTCTTGTTTGGCTGTAATGGTAGCACAGTATGGCAAGGATGCATGTAGCTCCTTTGACCAGGTAAATCTCAATCAGTTAGAGCAATGGTACTGCAATTTGAAGTTCAGGGTTTGAATCCCTGTCTAGCCCCGCTGAATTCTTACCCAGGGATCTAGACATCTTCGCTAGCCAAGTGTTCGCTTCGTATACACTCCACTTACAGTGTTAGGAAGCGAACACTTGGCTAGCGAAGATGGGATCTAGAGCACTATTGTTGACTAAATTTTGTTTTAAGTTCATCTTTATCATTTCATATTAAAGTCCAAGGAGGTATGGTTTTCTTTTCAGAAATAAGTTATCAGCACTATATAGTCATACAGGATAAAAGTGTCCAATACTTGGTCACAGTTTTTGGCAGTGGTACAGGGATTCTTAACTGCACTTTTTTCTTTGTGATTAGTGGACCAAGTGAAGAGCTAGCTATTAAGCAGAAGGTATTAACAGGTACCTTATTAAGCAAGGGATAGTAACAGATGATGCATTACATAGATTATGTATCAGGAAAAAGGGTTTTTCCAAAAAGCTCCTTTATTCGGGGTTTAAAAACCAGGGCTGATATGATGATCACTTGGAAGGATCTAGTGAGATGTAGACTTCCAGAAGTGGAATGAGGAGGGGGAGTTGGTTGAGGACCTGACAGGAACTTAGTTTGACCCGTGCAGTTCATTCACACTGTGTTACGTACATCATTCAACCAATCATAGTCATGCACACATATTCATACGTAATAACAATGTTTGGTACGTGATATGAGATGTTAACGCAATGAACCTAATTACACATGGGAACAGATCTAGAGTTTAATGGGTCACATACCATTGACAAGGGTATACATATGTCATACATTATATCTGTGATTGGTGTGGAGTTATCTTTCTTGAATGTTGTTAAATACTTAGTTAATCTTTGAGAATTATTTGTTTGTTATCCAAGCATGCATTTTTATGCAGCTTTTATTTGTGTCATTGTTTGATGTATTTATATCATTAGATGAAGTCAAATGACTTTGCATAAAAGGTTATAAAGTGAAAGTATTGAAACTCGTTGGAAATGGAAATGGAAATATCAAAATAAGGTGGCATATATCATTAAAAAATTACCTAAAATTTTTAATACGATACAGTACTTTCATTTTAATAATCCAAACATTTTTACGATCATCTTCATCATTTGAATGTTTGAATGGAATGCTTTTGTTGTATTAAGGGCAAATTAACTGCGAGTGCGGTTGGTTCCATCGTTGGCATGCAGTCAGCAGAAATTCAGCAGATCGCATCAGAGTATGCCGAAAAAGTAAGTTTATAGGAATAATAAATAATAGAAAAGAAACGACAAACAATTGACAGATTAATTTTAATAATTACATATTAGTCTGTTTTATAAATTTTCGTATATTTAATAGAAATATGAAATAGAAGTCTACCTTTTTTCAATTTCTTGCACAGAATGTCTTATAGAAAAAACCCAGAAAACATCAGATAAAGGCATGAGGCATGATATGTTTAGATCTGTTATAGCTATGGAGGTAATTCAATTAGTTTTATGAATTTTTCATTTTAAAAGAAATTTGAAATAAAAAGGTCATTTTTAATGTCAAATCTGTGGAAATTTATTCATACCTTTAGCTATATAGACATTATTGTACTAATTTTTGAGGAACGCAATTTTATCTGAAAAATAATGACAATCTAAATAAATTGAATGTCTGAACTAAAATAATGAATTTTGAGTTATAATATTTCAGTTCAGACTTCATAACTTAAGCATGAGAGATTTGCCAGTTTATTTCTTATTCATGTTTATATTGGTATGTGATAATTTTTTATCAGTGTGTCATAATTATAATTTTTGTGATTGATGCATGATTCATGATAATCGTCTAAGTGTGATCCCCAAATTTTTTTATAATTTCTATTGCACTAGTTCTGTTATGAAGGATATGGTTTGTGTCGACATTTAATCATTCAGGTTTGGTCATGCATGACATCACCAGAAAATTAAAACTGTTTGTTCTATATAATGAGTGAATTTTAATTTTATTGAAAGTGAATCTGACGACTGAAGTTTTGCATGCTTTAATTTATTTTGTATAAATATTTTACAAGGTAAAATTTCAAGGAAAAACGTTAATTGTAACCAGCTGGATAACTGAATCACTTACACCCAACAAATCAATGTACAATAGCCTGGACCAATATTCACGAAGCTGTCCTCATACTGAAACTCAGATTTGTGCTCAAGCCTATTTTCTTGTTCTAGTGAAAAATCAACAATACTCAAATTTTATTTCCATGATCTGGAAGAATTAAGGAAACACTTAAAGAAGAACACTGTTTTCAATGCTTATACTTTACTTTTTGACCATGTCACATGATATAAGCAAGTTACAAGAAAATAGGCCTGAGCACAGAATCCATGTTTGAGCATGACAATGGTTTGATGAATAAGGGCCAGCCCTTCAACTTTGTCCAACTGTGTAAGAATCTATTTAAAAACCAGAGTTTAAAAGTTTAAAAGTTTAAAGTTCACTCTGTAAGAATCTATTACTGTACCGTATACTGAAAAATCTGAAAATGAGTCGATTTTGAATACTGATAATTAATCTAAAAAAGTTTTTGATAGTTTCATGAAATAAAACAAGATTCAGAATTCTCTTAGGTACTGTGTACTTCATCTCAAATAATAGACAAACTATCACCAGCAGGTTCTTGAAAATCTCTTCTTAATTGTGAAACAAGAAAGGTTTGATATTTATTTTGTGACGTATGTGTCATTTTATGTGCCTTTTTGGATTTCACAGGCGAAAGATGAAAGTTTTACTGGGCGAAAATTCCCTAGTAAACATGTAACTCAGCCAATCACTAAAAGTCTCATAAGGTATTATAATAAACATCAATAATGTTCAGCTATAGGACCTGGTTGGTGTGTATTTTCTATGTAAACAGATCTAGAGCTTGTATATATTTGTCTGAAATTAAATTAAGTATAAACCACCAACCTTTCGGCTTTTAGCTAGGCCCCACCTTATATACACATTTATCATTTCTCCCCTTGGAATGAAGGGAGACATATTTGTTAGTATACATATTGGTTATTCATCTTCTAGTAGTTCTTCTTCTGGTTCTTTCAATCACAACTTGTCCGGGCCATAACTTTTAAACCGTTAAAGATATCTTGATCAAACTTTTAAAAAGTATAGCTCCATCATCCACAGAAGGTGTGCAGTCAAGGTATCGTGCTTCACTATATACAGAGTTATGGCCCTTTGTTTAATTTTAATACCGAAGTTTGTCCGGAGCATAAGTTTGATATTATTGCACATACATTGACTAAACTTACCATATTTATGTATCTTGGGAAGGCGGAATTTCTAGCACTAAAATCAGGTTTTATGCTTCGATATATACAAAGTTATGTCCCTTTGTTTATTTTTAATACTGAATTTTGTCCACAACATAACTTCTAAACCATTACAGATATCTTAATCAGACTTTAAGTATACCTGCATCTCCCACAGAAGGACAGAAGGTGTGCAGTGCACTGGAACTAGGTTTCTTGCTCCACTATATAAAGAGATATGGCCCTTTGTTAATTTTTTATACTGAAGTTTGTCTATTGGCTAATAAGGGGAGACATACATTTATGTTCACAAAAACAAAATTCTAGTTGGTAATATGTTCTGTCCTGTACTGGAAACTGACTCTAAGTCACTGTAAGTAGACAGGTGTCATTGTATGAATTATATAACCACCACATTACAGAAGGACCTGGTTAACTTATTCACCCCTAAAAATTCAAAATCAACTATTCCAACTTTTGATTTGGAAGAGTTCAATTGTGTCTTCAGGGGTGAATAAGTTAATCTACACAGAATTGGAATGATTGACATTTCCAGATGCTGTAAAATCGACTAGAATAACATGCACGGCATTAACAAAACAATTCTGATACATTTCAGCAAGCTGAGATTGAACAGATTGAGAAGACGGAGCGTGTGGGTGGGGCACAACAACACAAACGTGTCACTGGTGCACTTACCAAACAAATCCAACAGCAGAACTCTCGCCTGGAGGAGGTAGGAATATAGACGCCAATCATTACATTTTGTAAAGTTATATGATTTAAAGGACTTAGGGCGTAATGGGTCATTTTCAGCGTCATAAATAGTAAAAAATTTAAGTTGCGTTTATTTACCTATTTCTTTTATAAACATTAATATTGTATTGGTTAATTGGGGCTTTCTTTTGTGGTGCAGACATTTTTCATTGCACATGCATAGATGCCTCACCATAGCAACAACATTTTGTTGCTATGTAAAAATAGCCAAACTATGGTGTTTTTGGACAGTGAACACATAGCGATGAAAGTCTTTGCATGTGACAACCAAAATTTCCTTTCTAGGTATTACAGTGCACGCCAAATCTTTATTTAGTTGGTGCATGCGGAGGCTTTCAAAAATGGAAAAGTGTTTAGTTAATTTACTGAAAAACGACCAATTTTCAACGTAATTCTTGCACACAATAGACAATTATTTATTATGAAAAATGTGGGTTTATACCTGTCTTTGTTATATCTCTAGATCTAATACCTGTTGTCAAATTTAATTGAAATTTCATATTTGTGTTAACTTCATTTATTCCAGATTACGAATATTCAGAAAACTAATTTTAAATTCTGGATGAGGCCAGAACTGACCATTAACGCCACTAGTCCTTTATAAGCTGCAGATAGTTCTCTTTTTAAGAAATATTGATCTCTAATGGTGTCAAAAAGTCCTCTAGTTTGACGGACCTATGGAGAATAGGATTATGTATGCTTGTTAAAAACCATGAAATTATCAACATGTGATGTACTTTCATTGTGATGTCTGTTCATATCAATTCAAAATGTATATACTGTTAGTTTGAAAACAAATTGGATTCAGGTGAAATTGTAAATGTTTAAGTTTGAGGGAAGACATTTTCGAGAAAAGTACTTTTTTGGTCAATTTGTTATAGTAATAAGAGGTAAGGAGTAATATTTTTTTTGCCAGTTTTTTTTCTCCCCAGAACATCTTTTATTGGCGATTAATTTATTGAAATAATATGGTATTACAAAAATAATTTACATGGAGATTTATGTAGTAGAGAGGCATTAAAACACTTCTGTCAAGGAAATGGGGTAGGTGTATAAAATGCTACTGTATATATGCACTTGCCTGGCACAAGGAGTAGAAAATAAAAATCTTGAAATACGGTGGCTGCAACAATATACATGTAAGTAATAAGGCTAAAGATAAACTCTGTATCGCAATGTTACTGTGCATTGTGGATATTATACACCAGTATCTTATAACATGGTCAGAAATTGAGATTCTAAGCATGGCAGTTCAATATGCTAGCTATCTATATGTTATATTCCACAGAGACCAAAATGACTATATGTGACATTCCTGTTTTATTATTTTGTCTTTTGTCAGGTGATGACTAAACATGCTGAACTACACAAAGTTTACCTGGAAACCCAGGAAAAACTCAAACAGGTAAAAAAACACCTATATTAGAATAAGTTGTCTGTAATAGAGTGATTTGCTTGTCTTCGAAATAATTGACCAGGGAAAGAACAAATTAAATTCTCTTGCACTTATACAGCCTAGGGAAAACTTGACACTGTTCTTAAAATTGAATTTACTTGCCATACTGTATAGCGGTTATATTTCGCGGGGGTTTTAATTGTGCTATATTTGCAACTTGACTAATATCCACGAATTCTAAACACCAGCGAAAGATCGAAAATGTTAACCACTTTTACGGACCTAAATTATCACAACATGATGAAAATACGTATAACCCAACGCTGTTATGCAACCTTAAATGAACTTATATCAGATTATCACTGGACAACTGGGAAGTCCATGTACAAACAACACTTACATATAAGTGGCCACAACATATTTATGTGTACACAGTAGGTGACCAGCTGGGTGATTAATTGATTACAGTTTACTTCTACAAAGGTACATACCCATTTAATTTTCTGTCAAGTGAAATCAATGGCGGATGACGATGCTCAGGATCAGTGTTTTACAAACAGTTTACCTGTATTTCGAGGTTTAACTCTTAAATGATGACACTCAAAATACTTTGCACGAAACATGGGAGTCGGTTGCACAGCGAAATTTAACCCCTGCAAATATGTACTGAATACGAAACCGCGAAATATTGACCCCGCGATTTAAAGCACTATACAGTACATTTTTAACAACAAGGTTTGTAACGGAATATCCAACATTTAAAGATAAACATAACAATACTTTCATACATGTTTATAGAAGATCAGAAAATTCCACCGTCAGAAGTGTTAATTATGTTGTTGTGTTTTATGAATTAATTTGGAGTGAACCCTATGGGAAGCCTCTGAGAGATTTTACTACAATTCATAATCACTTAAGGATCCCTGTCCCACTGTATCGGGGTTTAATTCCTATATACAATAACCTCCCCTTAACTTCCATTAAGATATAACTGTAGAAAAGGTTGGGCTAGGATATATCTGTTGACCAGGTAGCTCTATCGTTTAGAGTGATGTTGTAACAATCTGAAGTCGAGGGTTTCTGGTCTAGCCCCACTGAATGTTACACTCAAAACACTGTTGGTGATTTTATTTTGTTTATTTCATCTTTATCATTTATAAATGTCCTGCAAGGTATGATTTTCTTTTCAGAAATGCTTTATCAAAGCTATTATCATACCGGAAAAAGTTTTCGCCACCTTTTTTACAGTTTTTGGCAGTGGTACAGGGATCCCTAACTAGACCTTTCTTATCTTTTATCTACACTTACTTAGCAGTTTCACAAAACCACCATTTTATTTTGTCCACAGGCACAATCTCGCAGTGAGAAAATTGATACAGAAATGGAGAAACTCGGTGCAACAGAAACAGACGAAAATCAAAGGTAATCATTCTACACTGTACGCAATTATTTTTAGGTGACATCTTGCTTTGCTATAAAGCATCCAACATTTCTATACTAAAAGGAACATTTTGTTTCTTGAATTATCTCCCTTTACTAATATCATTGGAAGACAATTTGTATTACCTCCCTTTGATGACAGCAACCCAAATGATATATTTTTCTCACCCAACTCACAGTCTCACTGTTGCTTATATGCACTGGCAGCAAGAAACACAAAATCTGGCTTTTGTTTCGGTGATCTCTCTTTAAATTGTTGAGATCTTGGCAAAATTTATCTGCATGCCCTCTCTCCTCATTTAAGTTAGGGTAAGGTAAATGATGTCAGTATATCTCACTGCATATATCTTGGCCCACAGTCGCAAGCACAGAGATACATATTTTATTTACACTCTTATTTCTCTTAAATAAACCCCACATTTGAAATATTCTTTAAATTGTTTTAACGAACGTTGGATGTAGGCAACTCAATCAGTTTTCCTATAACTTAACAAAGCCTACTTAGTTTCTTAAAAAGTACTAATGCTCAGAATTGATTTTTCCTTAGAAGTTTTAATATAAGTTTTAAAATCAACCTATTTCATATTGAAGAGAGAAAAATGTATTAGTATCAAATTCAGACATTTCAACATTAAATAAATCAACATGTACTTTGCATAAAGTACTGTATATATAAGAAAAGTGAACATGACACTTTTACTTATTTTTTTATAAATGTCTACAAAAATATTTTATTTTTCAAGTTTTCTATATCATTCAATCATTCATAATACCAAAACGGTTTAGTTCAGTTTCTGCTTTAAGCAATTTTAAAGATATCAGAGGTTAGAAATGATAGCCAGTTTCACGAAGTAGAAAACTGCTGATGTTTAAAGCTTTTTTTTGTGTTTTCAGTGTTTTGCAGAGGCTTAGGTCACTGGTAGCCATGAATGAAAATCTAAAGAAGCAGGAACAGGATTTCAAAGCACATTGCAAGGAGGAAATGACTCGCTTGAAAGGACAGATTGAGGAATTGAGGGCACAGACATCTGAGGATGACAGTGGGGATAAGGTAAGTAGGGAGGCAGATTGAGGAATTGAGGGGACAAATCTTTGAAAAGTTGGGATAACATGATCAAGGATAGATTAAGGAATCGAGGGAACTAATGTTTGAGAGCAACCAAGGGTAGATTTAGGAATTGAGGGCACATCCTCTGTGGGTGACAGTGAAATGAGATAACCAGAAGCAAACTAAGAATTTGCGAAAGCAATTTGATTGGTTGAAAGTTACATTAAATAGCGACTCACTTTCATCAAGACAGCCAGGGTTACATGTTATTCCCCAATAAGATGTAAAAGATATATGGTCACCTGCCTGACCATATAGGTTTTCTCTAGATACACAAATTTTCTCCCACATAAGACCCCGTTCACACTTCCATTCTGGCCAACTAGAGGGATTAATATTAGTGGATGAAACCTTTGTTGTAAAATAAATTATTTTATTAGTTAAAGGCAGACCTTTAATTGTGACTAAGGATAACTTGACAAGGTCAATATAAAGTTGAAATAGTCCAATGATTGATAGGCCCTTTGAAAGTTAAGTGATTTTCGTTAAGTGCTATTCCCTAATTTATTGTATGAGGGAAGTTGGAAGGCACCTGTATTATTATATTTTGCGTTGTGAGGTAAAAACCAGATCTGCCTAGCTATCTTTACTTATATTAAATCATTTTTTAAAGGTTTTATGGGTGGTAGGGTCTCTGAAAAAGTACCTCCCACACTCCCCTACGATTAATTCTGGAACAGTCCTACGGATGTACATGTATGAAGGTCACTGGGAAACATTATGACAATGTTATTGTGTAATGATTGGAAACCTACTGTAATTATAAACAGTAATTATAATGTAAAATTAGTTGGAGCGGTTTTTATTAAGGTTCATGTTTGTTCTGGTGCAAGTGTATTTTTCTGGGGACTACCAGGATATGGTATTACCTACGAAAGTATACCATTGAATTTACAGGACATATTGATTTGTAGATTTGACTAGCTACAAGTGCAGTGTAATAGAACAAGAATAAATGCACGCTGAAATTAATTTTGCACGATTGCTTAATAACCAGACTAAAAGGTCAGTAACCCCAACATAACTTTTTGAAATATCATGATACTATCGATGAATGCCACGATGCATCAGCAATTGAGATATGATACGATTCATCGATGCATCGGTGAATTGTTACACCCTACTACTAGCTATGATATTAATTAACTGTCTTTACAGGAGAGAGCCAGCCTGATAGACAAGCAGTATACTGCAGACAAAGAAAAACTACACAAGATTCGGCTTTTACTGGTGAGTTGGTTTTGTATGTATGTACACTTGTATAATGGTGTCATTTTACTGTACAAGTAATTTTTACATGTGATATGTGAAACAACTGGCAACAGAACACACTATACCGGAAACATTTCTTAATGTCAATTTGACCAGAAAAAATCCTGACCTGCAATTCAGGTCAATTTAACATGAAATTGTTTCAGATCCATTTCATGTCAATTTGACCTGAACAAAAAATTCAGGTAAACTCATGATCAGATATTTAAAAAAAAATCATGTCAATTTCAGGTTAAATTGACATGAAAAAATCTCCATGTGAATTCAGGTTACCAAATCATTCACCCATGAAATTATACAATGAACTATTCCAACCTTTGACTTGGCAGAGTTCAAATGTGTCTTTAGGGGTGAATGAGTTAAAAAATATTTTAAATAAATTTCAGAAAGAGTACATGTCAAGTCACATGATATAAAGCATTTAATTTATAATTACATACAATATGTAAAGAAAAAAATGCTGTTTTGTGGGAAACATGATATTAACCAAGACTTTAAATGGAGTCCACTAAACCATATTTCCAATTCTTGAAATCCATGTAGTAAACTTATTATTTTCCTTGAATCCTAGTCCTGCTTTTGTTCCTGGTCAAGTTTAAGTCTGTTCTACCTTGATACTGAATCATTTGAGTGATTTTGACTGTTCCAGGCGAGGAAGACTCGAGAGATTGCTGTCCTTCAGAGGAAAATAGACGAGGTCCCCTCTCGGGCAGAAATGAGTCAGTACCAGAGACGATTTGTTGAGCTTTACCATCAAAGTAAGTTTGAAGTTGAGTTTCTTTGATACTGAATGCATTAACTTTTAATCGGGAAGGTTTTTTAGCCTTCTGAAGATATTGGAATTAAAACCTATTTAGTTGCATATATCCATTCCGTTTGTTTGGTAAAGCGTGGAAAAATGATTCAATTTTGCTCTTGAACAATATGTTAGCTTATCTGTTTTCGTTATGGTGCATGTATCAATATGTTACTCTCCAGCATAGATCTTGTGAAAGAAAGTTTATTTAAGAACAAAATCTTATAAATTTCAGTTTTACATTCAAGTAAATAAACTGAAGTAAACTCTCAAACAGTCTCTGTGTACAAACTGTCTGCTTATTTATTCAGACTATTTGTCCAATATGAGTGGTTTCTGAAAAAAAGTCAGGACCTAATGGAAAAAAACTAAATTCTTACATGTACTCACGATATAACTGCTTGTGGAAATATTTCAGAAAATGAAGCTATCCTGGAAAGAATAGTATAGACACTGAGAAATACAAAAGTTCCATTCTCTGGAGTGGCTCTGTAGAACCTCCTTAATCCATTTATCAGGAAAATTTGCAATTCTGACACTTACTATTTGGAACTGATTTCAACATTTATTACAGTAAATGTATTTGTTAATCCAGATATTTGAACATCAGAAAAATTATTTCAAATGCAAACAAATACGTACTTCATCATTTTAGAAAAACGCTCTGGTGAACATGCGTGACCAGACTAATAGAATCTCTCCCCTACTTCGAGGTATTAAGACGGACAATCTCACCGCAAGGGTTAAGATTCTAAAATGTCTATCCCAAGGATTGTTGAAGGCAAGACATTTAAGAATCTTACCCCCAGGGTTCATGTTTTTCTGTCTTACTCCTAGTGTGAGGAATGATTGTTTTTCTCCCACGTCAAATACAAGTGGTAATTTCATGAAATGCAATTGTTGATTTCATACTAGCAAATCAGACTTATCATCTGTGATCTGCTAGTAATTTGATTGTTGATGTGACATCATTGCATTGTTGACAGGACGTCATACAATTGGTATTACAGGTGAATCCCCCCGTCTTTACCCTAGAATTATAAGACAGAAATATCTTTCGCTGACCTGATGTGAGGATATCTCTGTCTGATGGGGGAGAACATGTTATCAATTGTATATAGCTATACAAACTTGTGTCCTTTAACTGATCGTTGTGCACATACAAATTTCTCGTAAAATAATAAAGGAATGAAGGAAAGCACAACAGATAATTTGTAAATGTCATGATCTGCTTAAATTTCAAATTCTATTTATCACATTTTTTGTTGATATTGGATGACACAAATTTCCACTTAAAAATCTCATTCATGTAATTAGTATCCACTCCATGTAATTTTCAGTTTTCCTCCACCTACAAGGAAACGAAACAGTTTTATATAGTTTTAACAGTGTATAACAATATATTGGATGACACAAATTTTTACCTGAACATCATATTCATGTAATTCATATTAATTCTGTGTATTTTGCCAACCTTTCACTCATGCAGAAGGAGACAACAGATTAGGATAGTGTTGTTTTACAACTTACCTTGGAGGACACAAACTTCTACCTAAGCATTAAATTAGTTTTGTATTACTCTATGTATTTTTCAATCCTTTCACATACTCAAGGAGACAAACTAGTTTTATATAGTGTTGTATTACAACATCTTGGATACTACAATTTTTCTACCTAAACATTTTATTGTAATATGTATCCACTGTTATGTATTTTTCAGTTTCCTCCACACACAAGGAGACAAAACAGTTTTACACCCTGTATAATACACTGGACGATACCAAACTTTACCTCAACAAGGAAGTAAGTATGGGCTTCAATCAAAAAAATATTCTTTAATGGGAATCGTTCTCACCGGGGATTTCCAAGGTTATGAATGCATTTTTCAAAGAGTGTTTCCACACTGACTATCTTGTAAGTATATGCTTCCTTGTTGACAAATATGAATACCTTTTCCGAGTTATTTATCAGGGCCTTCTCCAAAAATATATACATAGTTTAATTTCATCATCATTAACTCTATTTTCCGTGTTATTTGTCGGGGAATATTCTAGAAATTAATATACTGTTTAATTTATCATTATGAACTTTTTTTTATTTATTCAACATTTTTAGTTTTTTTGTTTTCGAAGATTTGTCATTTAAAATTCTTTTTTACTATTTTAGGTGAACTTACTGAATTCAATTCATGACAGCTTTGGACAGTAAGTATAGATAAATAGATAAATATTCTGCAACATACCTGGTATGTACATTGTAAACAATAAAAGCAGAACAAAAATCATACCCCATTTACTTACAATATCTTATAAAACTTCCAATCCAATACAGGATGTAGGGACTCTACCAAAGAAAACATAAATGAAAATGTGGAATAAAAATATTGGTGAACCGACACAATTATCCGGGAGGGATATCCAACATCCTACGGTCAATGGTCTGTGGTCTGTCTGGTACAGGAATCAGAGATGGTTTTCTTCGGGAGAGCCCTGCATCCTGTATTGGATCCGTCCACCTTACCGACCTGCACCATACTATATGGCCACCCACCTTTAGCAGACTTCATCAGTACCGTAGAGGTACCTCACATCATAGAAAATCACACACTAGTTACTGGAATCAGCTTGTTCCATTCAGAGATGTCAGCTAACAGTTACCCACCTCTGATTCCTGCACCAGACAGACCACAGACCATTGCCCTGAGGACGTTGGATCTCTTTTCCGAATAATTGTGTTGGTTTGCCTTCATTTTTATTACACTTTTTCATGTGTGAGAATAAGATCTTTGAAATCAAATCTAGTAATAGTTGCTCTCAAATCATGATGCAAATGAAGGTGATGATATTATTTTTACGAGGGAGAGCATGACAAGGATTTTTGTTTGTCTAATGATTGGGAACATCATTCTAAACTACCATGTGGAGCAAGACCTTTTTTCTGGGGTTGTAAAAAACTTTTTGTTTGTTAAAAAAATCCCTGTCTCAATGCTATAGGGTTTTTCGTATAAAGAGTTACTTCCCCTTAATTTCGTTCTGGCTATAACTGTAGCACAGCTGGATCAGAATACCTCTGTTGACCAGACCGTCCAGTTAGTTAAAGAGGTAGTATAAAATAAACAACCTGAAATCGAGAGTTCAAATCCAGGGCTTATGTTATCATATTCTTGATTATGTTTTGTTTATCTGCGTCTTTGCGCATTGCAGAGTTATCTTCTCTTGGGAGCAGGTATTGATTGTTACGTCACTTGTTTGTGAGAGTAACGTCATCAATTTTTGAGAAAACGACGTAATTTTCTCACACAAACCAATGACGTAACAATCAATACCTGCTCCCAAGAGAAGATAACTCTGCAATACGCAAAGACGGAAAAGACATTAAACAACGGTGTCGTTATGGACCTCCTGTTTTATTGATATAGAAAACAAAACAGGGTTTCTTGTTTTCTTTTTTATTTCATTCCAAATGAAATTATGAACAGGAAAAGCATCAGCAAATCAGTTGAGTTTCAAAATGATAATTCACCAAACATATTGATGAATGGATTGTGCAGCATTCATATGACGCTGTACTCTAATAAATACAAAAAGAGTACAAACATGGGCTTAAGTGGACAGAGTGCAATATTATTTCACAACAACATTAATATTAAGTAAAGGAACACACGAACAAAAGCACCACAGGGCCATAACAGTAATATGCCCATCCTATATACTAAAGTAATATGCCTATGAATCTTTTGATGCATTCTTGAGACGATGTATAATTAGAATATAAGGAATAGAATGAAACATGACGAAACTACAATACTACTTAATAACATATAACATTAAATTATTTTGGTATGTGGTAAAAGGAGAATCACATTGTACTTTATATCTAAAGAAATATAATTATATTTGTCACATCCTTTTGTCACCTCAAAAAGCATTTTATTGTGAGGGATCTATCTCCGTTGGTAGAAATAAACATTAAAACGACATTGTAATGTATATACAGTATATGGCCTCCCTTACCCATATTCAGAAAATTGTAAACCACTAAAGCCAACAAAAAATCTGAGTGCAGGCAGATTCTTACTATTGTTTGAACTTAACCTTTGTCTATATCTATACATTTTGTATATATATATTGATCAAGTTACCTTGCCTGGCATATTGTGTGGAATCTGGCATATTTACAAATTGATTATATTCACTAATCACTCATAGCTTAACAAAGGGACCAGTGGGTCTTGAAACGTTGTGACATGCTTGATACGCACATTGTTTGTGTATAAAGTAAAGCTTTGATATTACATTTTTCTAAACTGATGAATCTTTATCGAAGAAATTATACACAAAATTTGCGTAACTTCAAAATTTACTCATAGTCTTTATAAATGTATGTATTGTAATGCTTATAATTGGATTATATTTAAGTAAATTATCTATTGGAAATCAAAGTGTATGTAAATGCTTTCAGTATTTATAAACGAAATTTTCAAAATGGTTTTTCCTCTCGTTGTATTTCTAGTTATTATTTTACACAACAAGATTGTTGACTTTGCTGGTGGACTATCAGTCCCCGGGGTTTGCTGTTGTCATGTGTCTGGAATTCATTCCAGCATAGTTTACATGAAATACAAGTATCCCTAACCTAACCTTACCTATCCTTAGCCAAACATTTTAAATTTGTAAAGCTATATATCCAGGAGGGTATAAGGTACCTTTCCCGTCTTCAGTACATCTGTTTTGGAACACTGTATAACCACCTTACCTATCCTTAGCCTAATATTTTACATTTTTAACGCTATGTATCTAGTAGGGTTTTAAAGCACCTTCCCATCTCCAGTACATATTATTTGGAACACTGTATAACCGAACCTTACCTAAAGTATCCTTAACCTAACATTTTAAATTGGTAACGCTATATATCTAGGAAACTTTAACAACACCTTTCCCATTTTCAGTACATAGGATTTTGAACACTGAAGGATTTTTCATTCTTTAGAAATAAAGTACCATTGATGAGTATTCAATGGACGAAATTGCCACTTAGTGCAGTAAAGGGTTTACTTTCCTGTCAACAAACTAGGTTGCAAAAAAATGCTGTATTTCTTTTTCGTTTTGTACTGATTAACTTAGTCAATTTGATGGGAACCATGATTTATCTAAACAGTAAAATTTCATTGCATTTCAGGGCAATGGCATCTCCTGGAGCTAAGGAACAATTCCTGAAACAATTTGAACAGATCGTGGATGGTGTAAAAACAAACAAGGCAAAGGTCAGTGCGTAGTCTACAGTTTTATAAAATTGCTTGAATTTAAAAAAGCACAGATGAGATGTGGAATGGAGAAGGCAAATAGTCAGTCAACTAAAATTATCCTTAAATAAGACGGTAATGACAGTAAGCCAGTTAAAGTTTCAGAATTTTAAACGAACAAATTCACAATTATAAATGAAATTGTGTATTTACAATTTCATCCCAGATTGTTATGATACATTAATCATGGAATATTTTAAATCTTTTATAAATATAATTGCCAGGAGATATAAGTCGTGTTTATCAATATAATAAATTATAACATATATATATCACTGCTGATAATTACCTCATCGGCTAATGTATCGATATTAAACGTACACAGGAAACAGTCAGTAGGCCTGGAACAAATGCCATAGTGTAATGCTTTGCTGAATTGAAAGTAAGCAGTATGTCACCTTTTTGGATGATAAGATCGCATCTTTTCTCCAGATGTATTTCACAAAATGTAGTCGTACAAGGTGTACACATATCAGAAAATGTATTGTACAAAATTGCTCTGTATGCTTTTCTAGGTAGAGAAACGTAAACAGGAAGAGAAAATGAAAAGAGACAGACTTAACGATGACTATCTGGATCTGATAGAGAAGCAGCGTCTGTACTTCAAAACCGTCAAAGACTTCAAAGAGGTACGTGTTGTCTAAAAAGAATAGTTTATCAAGCTGGTTTTGAATAAAAAAAGAAGATCTTCTTGAAAGTAATTGTCAGTTTGTCCAAACTTTCTAGGATCGCTTAAATTGCGTGTTAATCACATTTTGTAGTAAGTATTTTTTTTTTCGTGCTGTTCTCCAACTTTGCTCTAATTGGATTTAAACAGCATTGGGGGAAACCATTGTTGAATCTAAGAAATACGTTGTGAATCATAGGAGCCATTCCTCATTGTGAGAGTTAAATCCTCCAAATCACTATTTAACATAATTGTTCTTTGAATTTAATTAACTCTTTTTAAGGAAAAAACTCTATTACAGCTAATACATATCGTGTTAACCTGTGCTTGACTTTTGGGGGATTTGTATCTCATTTTGCTGTGCAGGAAACACTTTTCGCAAGTTATTAATTTTGCAATCCATGTCCCTTATATGCTTGCAAATTACCTTTTGTTTTCCCATATTTTGAATGAGATAGGCAGTAATTCTGTATAAATATTCATATGCATTAAAAAATGCATTCCAATATTTTACTGTAAGAGTTTGCTTTTTTCCATACAGGAATGTCGGAGGAACGAAGTATTGTTGTCCAAGCAGAGAAAGTGAGACGGGACGCTATAACTTTGGATCAACTACTGTGTTGAAGCAGAACTTTTATTTATCTTATAGATATATATTTTGGTCGATATAAACATTTATGGTGTTTAATGCCAAAATCAACAAATAAAAAAACCAATATCAGTTATTGTTTAGTTTCTTTTTAATGCACTTGTTAAACTATTGATCCTATTATCAAAGCTCTGTATACGATTACAACCAGGCAAAGGACTTGTATAAATTGTATAACAATAACAACACTTATGATATAGAGGTATGTACACATTTAAAATTGTCTCTTATTATGAACCATGTGACAAAAGTAATGCTCATATGTGTGTACATTATGAAGCAGATGTGAATACTGAGGTCTATGAAGCTTAAATGATAAATCGTCATTATAAATCTTGCTAAAAAGATGATTTAAACATTCCAGCTATTATAGGGTTATCTAAATATCATTTATACAACTTTCAGTGGATACCACAATTGTTTCATTAATATAACTGAATAATTGGATATGAACATATTAATTGCACGACTGGAATATTATAAAATTTACATGTAATTGTTTACAAGGAATAAAACAATAAAAATTACCGGTTCTGGTACAATAATCGGTTGAATGAGTCCTTTTATTGAATTTAAGAAATTTATTGGAAACCAAATATACTGTTAATTGTATAGAGTTTCCCCATTGAGTGGTTGTTGGTTATCATGTTTATCTAACTCGAGTTACTAAATTTTCAAATTGTATAGATATACGAGGTTTACGGAATGGAAAGCATTATTATATACAATGCAAAAAAATTGAAAACAGTAAGTATCCGGTAAAACATTTATCACTGCATAGCGATAGAATTTTCGGGTCTCAAACCGCTTAAGTATTCTACAGAAAGCACAAAACAAAACAGAAATATTGACGATTTACTTCTACGTAGCCAGCAATTCTCACTTCGGCATCCGTTGGTTACTTGTGTTCCCTAGCACCTTATTATTTGGCTCTTCAAAAAAACTATTTTTTTCATGTCCAATGGCAGGAATCTTCTCATCGACATTGATTACGTTAATAAATATTTGTATAAATGATAATATATATAAATTTACCAAAAAAATAATTATTTCAAACAAATATATATCGAAAACAGTAGCCATCGCAACTTTAAACGTTCTCCCCTTGCCTGTTGAAATATTTGTTTTGGCTCCAGGTTATGTCCCTTTTTTAATTTTAAACAAACAGCTATTGGTTACGTGAGTTAGGTATGGGTAATCACCACATGTTGATAATTTATATTGTAGAAATGATAGTGGTACGTGTAAAGGTTTTGTACAAATCCTTGTTTTGTAAAGACAACATATACTTTTATATTGCTTTACTATATCTCGTGTGTTCCTCTTGAAGCAGCAACTGTGCTTTCAATGACTCGATCACGGTCAAGTATTGGTCGCGTTCCTCCATGAACTGCTTCCTGTCATTATCGATTGTTTCCAGCAGATCTCGTATCTCTTCATCCTTCTCGCATAACTTGCTATCAAAAGCGCTAATACTTGTCTCAATGACGATCTCCATGCGATCTCTTTCACCTATCATACTTTCGAAACCTTTGGAGAGTTCTTTGACCTGATCAACTAGTTTTTGTCTTTCTTGAAGAACCTGTTCGACTTCGTTTTTTGTTCGTTCACTCTCGATTTTCTCTCGTCGCACATGTGTTTGGATCTCCTTCAGATTTTCATTCATTCTCCTGTTATCACCCACGAGTTTCAGAAAGGCTTCGTCATACTTTTGCTGGATTTCACTCTTTTCCTTTTCGCACCGTTCATTTGTGTTCTTCATTTTCTGGATTTCCATTTCTTGTTCCTGAATATGCTTCTTCAACGTGAATATTAACACTTCATTTTCATGCGAAGCATTTTCCAATTTACATTTTATCGTTGTGGTATTATCTTGTATCGCCTTCATGGATGTAGTAGCATCTTGAAGCGTTTTGTCACCGCGCTGAGTTTTGACTTCCTTTTTATCTCCTCGTATTATCATAGCGGGTTCTCTTCTTTCTGATTTCTCAACATCACACTGAAACCCTACCTCGCTGACCATTCGCTTTTCCGAATGCTGCAACTTTAACTCCGTTTCTTGCGATTCGTTTTGATTTTCCTTTTTGTTGTCCAGTACGAAATCTTGCAATTGGTGACTTGTCGAATAGGCCATACCGTTTGCTAATTCCGTATTAGGGTAAGAGTTTACTTCGGTTTCTTCGTGCAGCCGAGTGTTCATTTCTTCAGATTGTAGTGTCTCATTCCTCATTTGCTTTTCTTTTGTGTCCGATTTTCCTTTTTTGTCGTTATCTCTTGCATTGAAAGATTCATTTCTGTGTGGTAAACCTGTATGGCAATGTCCGTTCTGTTTTATATTCTTCTGTTCACTTGATTCCACATCTTTCGTAGAACTACTCTGATAAGCTCCAGATATACGAACACTTTTCGCCGAGGGATGTGTTTCAGAGTTTCCATTAACCTCTGTACCAGGTTCAATAAAATGTTCCATCGGATACTTTTCTGAAACATTTAGTAAAAAATGAATAATTCATAAGCTACGGATATAGTTATATATGCTGTCACTTCCAAGATAGCGATGTGAATAATAAGAGAATAAATACCAGGACATTTATTGCGGTAACTCACGGGGTATTATTTTACGCCGCCCGAAGAATGCGAGAACTCAACACGACAGCGAATACTTCTAAAGTCTCGTTCAACCAGACGCTTGCTCACTGTAACTCGACAAGAGTCGGGTTGAACGAGGCTAATACTTCAAGCGAAATTCCAAGTAACGCTTCGCAAGTGCTAATGCATCATGATGCCTGGAAAAGGGCGATATATATATAATAAAAACAAATGGAAACTGTACTTTGTATACAACTAAATTAAGAATCATATTTGTTACCATACAAACTTAACACTGCTGTAGTTCAATTCATCAATATTTTGTAATATTTACGAAGATGAATTGCAAAAATAGTCCGTTCATGGTCCTTGAATGTTTGGTACAGTACATAATTTTCGCATTAACTACCAATTTTCTATTTTATTTCTTATAATTTGTTTCAATTTATAAAGTTGTTAGCCAGTTTCTGTAAGTTACCTGGTATATTTTTAATTCTCTCTATATCAAACATGTTTTTACAGAAAATTTCCATTGCATATATTCTATAAATAACCATTCAAATCTGTCACGTAATTATTGTATACATCAAACCTACACTACAACTACAAGATTCCAAAATTTTACTTTATATGGTTTATTTGATAACTGACAATTATATGTAATAAATAACTGTTTGGTTTTTTAAAACTTAACGATTACGCGTACAATCAAGAAAGCATAGATATTATAAACGCTTAGAAATACGAGATAACAATTCATACTATGAAACAAACTAATAATACTGAATTCACAATTCATACTATGCAACATACTTATAATACGGAATTCACATATAAATTGTCTAAACTATTACGCATGTATCGAGTACAAATACTTGCCTGATTTGACAACTTAAGCTGTTTGATGCCACCAGATAACGTCTGCAACAAAAATGGGAAATATTATATGTGAGCGGTCTATTTATAGCGGTATGTCACATTATTGGAAAAACCGTATGTGTATTTAAGTAGCGTTTGTGGTACGCAGTAGACGTATATGTATATAAGCCCGTGGCGTCATTTGTTGATTAGTTCCTGATAACATGGATACGTATTTACTAGCTAAATAAAAAGGACAACTTTGGTCTACGGAAAGTGAAACCAGAGGAGGAACCAGCACAGAAGGTATTATTAACATATAATTGCCTTCGCTAGGGACGTATTAATGGCTGCCCCGGGACCTTTTATTAATTTCAGTTGTGCATGGCGAAGCAAATATGTCTAGTCAGGAGCAGTATTATCAAATATTTAATTATCGATAGATTTTCTCTAATGATATATGAATATAATAACCAATATGATGTAAACATATATAAAACACTGCAAATATACTGAGTTACTATAAATAGCAAAACAAGTATGCACTCGTGCATGACGACGATAATTCAAGTCGTGCTATGGAAAAGGATTATTTAGGTATGGCTTTTGTATCGTTGTATATGTATATAGATTGTATCTCAACGTAAATCGTTCCATTGTTGAACCTGAAGTTCCCGGCCATTGGGAAGGATCGTTTAATTTGTTGGTGTATATATTTTAAATCCACCATTGAAATGCATGTGTATAATAGACAGATAGAGGGGCAAGCAATGACTGACTATGATCGATATTAATTCTAGTGTAGTAGGTTTTTAAGTTATGTATAACTTTGCAGATTAAGCAATATCATGATTGTGACTCTTGACATAACCGTGGATTATCGTACAATATGACGATGTTGACAAATCTATTTAAACAGAGACTAACGCATAAGCGTCAGTAAGGAAAATTATGATAAAGCGGACATTAAGCTGTATAGCATTTGGTTCAATAGACCTTCCTTTTGCTCAAGATTTTCACTAGGGCTAAGCAATAGAAAAAAAAAGAAATTTGAAACATTCTTAATCTGATTCAATGTTTTTTATCAAAGTTATTGTTGCAACTCATTGAAACCAGTATTAATGGCTTTGAGTGAAGCTGTCTTAGGGGTTTTATATATTTATCCATTTTGCTAATGTTACGGCAGCCAAAATATCCGTAAAATAGAACACGAGTTATAATTTTGCGATTAAGACATGTGCATGAACTATAAGCGCGTTATTTCATGACGACATTTTCTATATGAAGTTTATTATAGCGGCTACTTATACATTTGTTATATTATTATATGGATCATATTTTCACGATCAAGTTATTGACCCACAAACTCGCGAAAATATCATCCCCGTGGAAATATCATTCTATATGGTATCACAATAAGAGTTGTCAACACATATCCATAGCATGTACGAATATCTGACTGGGAAATATAATACTACACTACGAAAGTAATTTCTAGAAGGGTAATTATATGTTGTTGTTTTTCTCGGTAAATTGTTAACTTCCATAGTAACTTTAGGGAAACAAAAAAGCAGTAAGTCAATTGTATAATTCGAATTTCAAAATAGCTTCTCATAAAATAACAAGTTGTCAATTTCAGAAATAATAATGAAATGACAGGGACATTCAATAAGCATTAAACAGATATTCTGTAATTTGAAAATGTTTTTTTTCTGCCTTTGTATTGAGTAAATAAATTACCCAGGAACTTTAACAAGATGCTGTACCATATATCATGGCTACATGTAATGAAGTACAGCAAAACAGATTAATAACACGCGTTATAATGACGAAGTGCATATTTCGCGATAAACGTCATATATGTATCGGGATTCGTATCGTATCGTCAAGGCATCTATCTGGCACTACACAATATCAAAATACTAATAATATCTCAATAAAATATATCTTAAATTTCTATTCATACATATGGTGTTATTTTACAAGATAATTATTTGTTTCAGAGGTAAGATGGCATCGTCAGTGAAAGTCAATGATGAAGGTCGGGAGCCTCCCGGAAATCCATCTCCTTCAAAGGAGTCCAAAAAGGACTCTAAAACGAAAACATCAAGACCACTCAAAGCTGTGTATTGTTTACAGTTTTCGACTAAGATTCCGTTTGATTTCCACCACGGAATGTCCGAGGTTCAGAAAATGGTGACTCTGCCAAATGATTCTGTGGTAGCGCTGGATCGGGCCAACAGGAAGCTGAAGCTATTCAGCGCTGACTTGGAATTTTTGCATTACGCAGATGTAGGGGTAGCTCCAGCGGGATTGACTGTTATTAAAAATTCTACGGTGGCAGTGTCTTCTGGTGACATGAAAAACCACATCACGCTCTTCAAGGTAGACGACAATACACTGCAGCGGACCAAAGATATAGAATGGGAGCACGAGAATTATGCGGTTTGTGATATAACTTATGCAGATCATCATTTTGTGTGCCTAACCTCAAAATATCAAAGCACCGGAAAGAGTGAAATATGTGTAGAACGAATAGATACGGACGGAAAAAGACGTACCGTTTTCACAGAAAACGGAAATGCTCACTTGGGCTATAACCTTATATCTGGAAGTGGAAATTATTTTTATATTTGTGATTGCTATAAGAATAAGGTAAGATGTATGTCATATGAAGGGAAATTATTGTGGGAGACGGAAACATCTAGAGGACCTCTCGGAATAGCTCTGGTGAAGGAAAACATCTTGGTGTCATCATTTGCTGAGGGTGTTGTCAGCCAGATATCACTAGATGGCCACATGTACAAATCTCCTGTGATACAAGAATTAGCAAAGCCTGGTAGCATCTGCTATCAAAGGAAGAGAAAGCGGCTCCTTGTGTCCCGATCCGACACGGGCAATCCGATCAGGGTGTATACAATTGATTAACGTCTAAAAGAAATAAATAAAGTGCAATACATATTTGAAGAAATATATACAGTAATTGTTTTTGATGGGTTTTTTTCGATGAATAGACAGTCTCTTCGTTTTTGGCATGGCCGTTATATGGAATAGAGAGATTAGCGAGTTTTCAAAGCTACGATTCATCAGCCAGATGAGCTGTTTCTGTTTCACACTATTTATCAAATGATAAAAACTACAAACAGCTGGTTACATTTTCCTTTGACCAGTTATAATATACTAATCTAGATAATCATAGTTGCCTAATTTGGCATCAAACGATATGCGTCTGACTATGCGATGGCCTTTCAGAAATGCAAATGTACAGTACTCTCTATCCCAGACTTAAAATTACGTATTTCCTTACAAGTCACAATGGAAAAGCGCTAAATTATCAATACATGTATATATATGAGATATTGAGGTAACAAACACAAGATGCACCTTAAAACTTGGTGTAATATATGTAAAAAAAAACCACTGCATCACATGATACAACTGTTACGTCCTTTTAAGACTCATCGGTGATGATAAGGGCCAAAACGTTGAAAGTCCAAATTTTCTAAACTACAGTAGAAACTGAGGGGCAGATAAAACCCCTTACTTTATGAATTTCAAAATTTCAAAATTTTTAGAGGAACTTTTGCGCATGCGTACAGAAAAGGGAGCGCATTTGTATATATATGTATGACTTGGCATACTAAGCATGTGGACACACGTCAGAACAAATGAATGTATTATGAGAGATAAATAAAAGAAATAATTAACATTTTACACTTAACTCTAAATAACTACCTCCACCGGTCGATAACTGCCCCTGTCATTAACGTCACGAAAACAATGACTTCTCCCGCGATTCGTCACATGTACGCTAATTGCAGACGATGAAATAGAGTACGTTTCCCGACTTCTCCGAAAAACCATCATATAATAACTTACGCAAAACGGTAAACTGGAAAATAACTTTGAAGCTTAAGCTGTCGATAACTTCAAATTTCATTTAGAAAAAATGTATATATTATGAACCGTGCCACTTGGCCATCAATGTTAAGGCAAACCTCGGGGACTAGTAGAGTCTACGGCCTTTCATCTCAAATAATGAACGTAGCACACACACACACACACACACACACACGTGATGCTCCTCTAATACAATTTGGTTATAGATACAGTATGCCGAAAAATGAATTACATTGCACCATACCGCTGTTTTGTCCTGCTAGGACTCATTGGTGATGCTAGGGGGCCAAAAGGTTGGAAATTCTAATCGGGTCTAAACTACTGTAGAAACAGAAAAATAAAATAATGATTTACAGATTCCGCCATCACAGACATGGTGGAATCCGAGAGTCACTACCACAGAATAAGGTTGACATACATTTTAAAAACTTCAGAAAAGTCATAGTCAGCGTTTGCCAAGAAAGCAAAGGCCAAACGGAAAGGCAAGCGTTCATAACGGTTATAACGTCCTTTGAATAGAAATGATATATAGGGCGTGAGCGATAAATAATGAACAAATCTATAAACATGACAGACACCGAAATATCATCCTTGTTAAACACGTCTTGATGATAAACATTTTTCAGCATTGATTCTCGGGTAAGTGAGACTGGTTCATGTGATGAGTGAAGAGTGTGCAACTATTCAGGAAGTCATAATTTAATGTAAGCTCATACCAGAGGAGATCGGAATGTCACAATCCAGAAAAAGACGACCATTAAAATACTTACAATTATTGAAACCAATACGTGCATCACAAACGTATGAGAATTATAAGAGTATGTTTATACAAGAATAACTAGAATAATTGATACTGTTTTTATTTGCAATGGTGTGAGAAGGACATTAATTAAATACTGTGTTTTCGTCAAGAAAGTGATTCGTTTGGGTTTCGAGTCTCGAGACGACCAAAGGAATGTCAAAATCAGTTGTGAAATCAACCATTAAAATATCACGATATTTCTCGATGTAAATGAAATGAATTAAGTGAACATGAAACAAAATGTGTAAACATGGTTGCCGGTATTAAAAGTTTTACAAATGGGGACTTTACCAAAAAATGTCTTTGTTCATTTGGCTTCTGTTACTATAAGGACAACTTTCCATGGCAATTTTCATTTAGTAGTAAAATTGACGATACCGGTTACATAATTGATTTTAATGTAAATGCAATCCCGATATGAATTATATGTACTTAATCAGATAAACAAAAAAGTCAAACCTAATCATCTATTTTGACCAGCATAAACGTATATTGTTATTATCAAAAAAAAAAATGAAAGACAAAAATTGTAAATCCCCCAAAATGTGTGGTTCGTAAACGTAAATTTTAATAGAAATACAAGTTCGCTATTGAAAACGATATTAGCGTATGTTTTAAAGTGGTATACACAAATGTACAATCTCATTTGATAAGCTACCTGCGAGAACCGCTCCTTTATCGTCGAATCCAAATCGGCCCAACATGACATAAGTTCATGTATAGATAACAATCGCTAGGAAGGAACCATTAGCAAACGTCCCAAAGTAGTCCCTACACCGAAGCATACTTTCGGTGTAATCTTCAATTGTTCTTTATAATCATATCATATTTTCCGCAAAACAGCACTCATTATTATCTTATATTAATGTTCAGTTTGTTTCCCGAAAATTTGAATCGAACAACAATGGCAGACAAAACGACGTATAATGACGTCACGTTACCATGGGGCTAAAATGTTCGGAACCCATTCCCATTTCGATTCGATAAATTTGATCAATTGATAAGCACCGATAACAACGAGATAGAAACTATTTTGTTCATATTGTTCAGCAAAACAATGTCATATATTATCTCGGTATCTGTAATGTAATTCATACCTATATTTGCATTATCATAAGTGAACCGTTATTTTGTAAGCACCACAGAGAAAAAACATGTCAGGGTTCGGTTCAGAAACCATGTGTTATATCTGATAATGTAACAGTATCCAACACATTGACGACAGGTAAAAACTGCTTATACATATACAGTGTACATGTACCTGCAATGGTTATAGCATTTGCTGTAATACGAATTTTATGCTGATGGTTCTTATCTTTTATTATCAGCTTAACTAGCATTAAACTATTGTCTACCATTCAGACAGCATACTCTAAGCATGCATTCGACTGCTCTGTTTGTGCTGATTTTGGTGTGTAGGTATGAGTTAGGCTCAGGGGAGGATGAGCGTGAATATGACCAATCAAGGACACTCGCGGACATGAGGAAACTCATGGAAGAGACTTCTGCTACTCTTCGCGTCTACCAACAGAAGACAGAGTCTCTAATGAGTGTTGTAACAAAACAGGAGCGTGAACTACAGGCTCTGCAGGCCGACGTTGCTAGACTGTCTTCAGAAGAATGTGGCGAAAGAGATTCTGAGGGAAATAAACATGGTAAAAAGGGGGAAATGTGACAAACATTTAAGCGAATGGTATAGTTTCATGCAATAACCAATATGAACAAAATAGTTTCTATCTCGCTCTATTAGATTGATACACACCAAACAAACACAACACAATTAGTTATTACGTCACAGCAAATAATCTCTACAAGAAGTAAGTAGTTTTGTTGTGCTGTCTTAAATTTAGTAAATTGTAAAATATTGTCTTATCTTATATCTAATTGAAATATATAGAAAATCAGAAAGATTATATCCAAGTATGTTCATCTGGGTAAATTTCATGTCAAGCATTCTTTGAATTCAGTTTTAAGCCAATGGAATATTGATTTTAATATATACATTATCAGTCATGCATCGACATGTATTAGTGTTATATACAATGTAGTCTTCTATTCAAGAGGAAGAAGTGCTTTTAACAAAATTGTATATTTGTCGATTGGTTGAATATGATAAGGTCGAACGTGTAATTGTGAACCCGAATATAATAATTAAGGACAATGCTACTGATGAATTGAACATTTCATTGAATATTGTTATAAAGTGATATAAAGCTATCAAAAGCGTTATGCCGATTTCTTTAATGTTGAAAGTGAAATACAATTAAAAAAGGTAATGCATAACTTTAACAGAAAAGAAAAAAAATTGATAAGAATCTAGTGATAAGATATTTCCTCTCAAGCCATCTATGTAGTTATTTTTTCAACTAAAAATATCATGTATTGTTGTACCTTAAATATGCACATCAATACTCTTCTAATGGGGAAAATAAAATCAATTCTCTTACATATATTCGGATATTCTAAATCGATAAGATGAAAGAGTCTCCCAAACATCCAGGTAAGGCCGACACGCAGCAATTGCATGATATGACAACGTTCATTGTAAATTAAATCCATGTTTGCTTACAGTGAATATTTTTGACGTTTTACGTAGATCCCAAACGAGTATCTGAAGTCAACGGCACGAGCTCAAGCGTAGCCTTCTACGCCCAACTGTCCGCTGACCAGTCCAATTTCGGTACTCACCAGACCATCATTTTTGACCGAGTACGGACCAATATAGGAAGTGCCTACAATCACGATGACGGTGTGTTCACGGCACCATTTCCAGGGGTCTACATATTTTTTTGGACGACAATAAATCGAGACAATTCACACATGCAAACGGAGCTGGTTGTCAACGGATCACAGTTTGGTAGAGTGTGGGCTGATTCAGGGAATCATGCTGACTATACCATGGCGTCCAATATGGTGGTCGTAACCCTCGCTGCTGGAAGCACTGTCTGGATTCGTTCCGATACTGGTCATTCCGGTTTCACTAGTGGACAGAACTTCGCCACCTTCTCTGGATGGTTGTTACAAAATATTTGAAATAAAACAGTATTATAATGTTTAATGATTTTGCTTTGTTTTGTATAACCATGATAATATTTGGCTTTAAAATCACTCAACATCAATTAAAAGTAACCTGAAATGGTCTGCATACAATACAATACTATCTTTTACAATGACACAGTGTTTAGCAATTATTTATTCAACACGACCAGCTTCGTGCCATTCGGTTTGATCTCCAAATAATTGTAGAGCAACCGCACATTTGCTAAAAATGGACGAAATGCAGACATTTTTACATTTTACAAGTATTTTGAGAAAATTTATCTATGTTATTTAATTTTGAAGGAGCAGTTAAATTATCTATTCATTGATTAGTATCAAGATCTCAACGATTATGTTGAACACACAAAAGTGCATGTCTGAACTTTTTTTTAGTAGCTGTGCACGTGTATTTGTGTCATATAAAACAAACATTCCAGTGTTTCTGTTCTGAATTCATATTTGCTACCACACACGATATAATTGTGGGATTTATAGACAAAAAAGTTACCACAGCGTCTTCAATGGAATTTGAAGACATAGATATTGATCTAACTTCATTAATTTGCATTAAATGGTGTATTCGAACATACAATAATGTGTCAATATATTTTTAACATCTATTGTTAATGGGGTTTTTCTTCAGTTTTTAACGATTTGAAACGCTATGTTTATATATTGAAAAAAACAATATTTAGACTTGGCTCTACAATATAAACCATTGGTTCTCAATTGTCTATAGCGACTACCTTTGACGATAGTTTTATTTGTTCCGTGAGCGGTCGCTTAGGACAGTAATGCTTAATAACAAAGCTAAATGAATGCAGTTCAGTACAACTTACATTAACTTTTTTGAACTGTTATTATTTCATGAAAAAGTCAGCTGATCAAATTCAGCATTTATTTAAAACCTTCTGTATCGTGTATATTTTAAGAACAGAAGAATAATCTTTCAGGAAGTAATAGCGATAAGATTTTAAACAATTTTGATCATAGGTTCTAATTGATTGTAACATAGTTGGGCTTTTTTAAATTTGTTGAATTTCATTTCATGTTCTTTATTATCCTACTTCCAAAACAATTTTAAAAGGTTTTTTTCTATATTGATGTGTGTAAGATCAACATGGTGTTACGGTTTCCGCATTCCCTACATAACCAGTATACATTATGATAAAGAGGTCACATGGTTTGTTTAATCCTCGACATATACTGTCAACCAAATATGAACCTATACGTCAATACTTTCCATTTAGTAAACTGATCACTGTCCCATTACAAACAAATGTTTTGAAATTCCACTTTTATTTTTTGTACATACAGTAACATCCACTTAATTGTGTTTTAATATAACTGTAGCGCAACTGGGTCAGAGTACAAAGAGTACAACCGTTGACAAGGCAGTTTAGTTGATGTACGATGGTCAGTGGCTCGACTACAGGTGTGGCCTCATTATATAATTACATAATTTTATAATTAAGACTTTTGTTGAACATATTCTTTAATTATATTTTTCATTAACGTTTTACCAGGTTATTTCTTTTTAATAGAAATAATTGATCAAAGTTAAAGTCATGCACGATAAACACTTTCAAATGCGTAGTTACAGTTTTTGGCAATGGTACAGGTTATGTCATATGACTTGGTGATTTGTCGTATTCTTCAAATGGTCGAAATTGTTAAATATCACAAAATCATATCTATTTCAATGGTGTAGGTGTTAACAACAAGCTAATTATAGTGTTCCCTCATCTTTCATTTATCATGACAAACTGCCGACATTATCGTCAACGGACGATGGACTGAGACATTGTTTATTGATGACGGAAATGAAGCCCACATCTTCCTCCCCATGACCTCCGTGAATATGTGTACTATGATAGGACGGTCTACACTCACCTAATCTTGCTTCATCAAATATGTATCCATCATATAGGATTGAACGGCGTTTTTTATATACGAGCCAGTATGAACGCAAATCGATTACAGCGGGCTTCATGTTTCATACCGGCATGTATATAAAAAAACGCCGTTCAATCCGTATATGATGGATACATATTTGATGAAGCAAGATTAGGTGAGTGTAGACCGTCCTATCATAGTACACATTTTTACTATAGAAAAGTTGTGTCATTATCATTTATTTGTTCTTAAATAATTAATTAACTTATTGTGTTTTGTACTTGCGTCGTCCTTTAAACGACATTGGCGGAACAGCCATATTTAAACAAAATTGGCGCTAATAATTAACCGTAGTCATTTGGACGTTTGACGCAGGGGTATTCTCCATGCTATTCGAAGCGAAGCGACAAGACTCTCATATTATGCTAATCTATGACGTCATAAGTAAACCACGTGTTACGTCACGATAATTTTTGATTTCCTATTCAAATGAAATGCCTTTCCGCTGGTTATGTTCATAAAGTGGGTTGCAGCGCAAATGTAAAATGTACAGATTTGAAGGAACCTTTATGTCTTCCTACATGTATCTGGGAATATGCAGCAGATATAATTCGTCTCCTCAACCTATTAAACAAATTGTAGCAACTTCTTGAACCCTACAGCTGCCGCTTTTGCGACGAAACCGCCATAAACAACTGCATGCGCAATGAAACCTCGGAGGTGACCACGAAGAGACGTTTCAACCATTTCAAGGTAAGCTTATTCCAGACAGGCTACAGAGCAATTTTAGACATCTGTAAGCTGACCCTTCAAACGGACGTTTCGTCTGGTATTCCACAACATCAGGTAGATGATAGAGGGTTGAATGCCCTTAATTGGACATAGAAGAAGCTTGACTTGCATAACGACATCACTAATGTCAAAGTCAGTGGATCCGATAATTACAAGACACAGAGGTACCTTTACCATCAAACTGAAGAAGATGGTGCAACAAGACAAAATTTACAGGAAACTGAACCAGTCATCCAGATCGTCAACGACAACGTACAACAGAAGCGACTTCATTCAATATCCTGGAAAAGGATTTTGATCAGACCTACACAATGTATGATTTCTGATCAATTACATGATTAAGAATACCTCAACCGAGTTTATGTTCCAGGGTGCCAAGTAAAGGTCATCTTTACTATTTATGGATTTTTGTCATCACTCTAGCAACTTCATTTCTGAAAGGTTTTTTGTAAAATTTCATATTCATGTATTGTTCATGTACTAGAATAACTAAAACGAGATAGTGTTTCAGGGTGCCAAGATCAAGGTCAAGGTTAATATAAAACATTTGAAGTCTTCTTAACGAGTATTTGTATCATACTTCGTATATATTGGTCAAGCATGAAATTATTTACTGTTCTGAAATACGTTTCGTCAATTTTGTCTTCATTGGCAGGAGATTGTTGTTGTTTTCTTTTTTTTTTGCATAATCTTGAGCTAAATCCGAGGGAATTTGTATGGTTTGTGCAGCTTTATTTTTCTCTTTTGATAGTTTTCTTTTTGGATCCGCGTACTATTGCCCAAACTGTAACTAAGCTTTTGAAATCACTGAATCATTTCTGAAAAGAAAATCATACCTACGCAACTATAATGAGAAATACCAAAGATCAAATAAATAAAATATTTAGCGAAGCCAGACCGGTATTCGAACACTGGACTTCCTATTATTATACTATCACACAAACAGATTATGATATCTGGTAAACGGAAGTGTCCTGGTTAAAATTTGCTAGTTATATCCAACGGAAGTTTAGGGGAGATTACTGTGTATTGGCAAAACAACAGTGCAGTGGGGCAGATATCTTTAAAGTAAACGGTCAAAGTTGGTTTATGTTTGGAGATTAAATATTATCCTCCGACGCTTTATTTTTAATTTTCTCTGGACCTGTGACTCATGCATCAACTGCATTTGTAAGTTTTCTGTTATATATCATTTATGAACTCTGTTTCCATATATAGATAAGTGTTCCGTTGCAGGGATATCTTTCCATGACTTTTCATTTCTTGATAACAATATCCTTATATAAGAGCGTTTTAGGCTAGTGATAGATCATTTAAGACTAACATTTTTTTTTTTATCAACAAATTTGAAAAACCTTCTTTCACTCTTAGAATCAAACAATGTTGGAGGAACAATTTAATTGTAGAATCATGATAGTTTGTATTATATCATTCCTTCCTTCTGGTAAAAGATATTTTCTTAATACTAAAATTAAATTTCTTTTTATTCATTATTCAATTCTGCTTAAAACTAATCATGCTATAATGCATTTATGCGAATATAATGGTTAAATATATAACGAGACTCAGAAAATATTTGAGAGAAAATTAACGAAGGCCGTTTCCTGACCAAGTTGATGATGTTTGCAACAATTTCCAATCTCGAGATTTATTTTCCATATCATAAATCGACACATGTTCTGTTTTTACCCTCGTTTCCATATGTCTATAATAAGCAAGATGACTTAGATGATCTAGTTATTTAAATCAGAGAGATATTTGTGCGCGCTAACATTTTTCACGTAAGGCTTAAATATTTTCATTTTACAAGCGGCTGGGCGTTTTTACCATTTTTTACCTTGTCAGATGTTGTCCTATTCTGTCTATTTAGCCCTGATATAGTTGAGAAGATTTCTTACATTTTCAGTTGCCCTTTGTTCGACAGACGATAGATAACTAACACTGACGTCATGCTTTACACCAATGGTTTATTTCAATCAATAAAATCCACCAATATATCGATATTGCTCGTCAACACATGAAATCACCATTGGAGCGCTTTTCATTTACACAATATTCAAGCCACCTTTGCGGTAAGTCAAGTGGAACATTCTAACCGTGAGTTTGACAGATATTATGTAGTTCTTAAAGCTAATTGGAAATTTGTTTTCTTGTCTACTAACTTATCTTCACATACATACAAAACAAGTAGTAATTGTAATGGGGAACCATTACAGAAGACCCCCAAACTGCCCCCATAATCGCCAAGATGCATCAACAAGGGTCGCAATTGTATAATATACCTACATACTAAATTTGAGTGAAATTGAACAATATCT